CTGAATAGCCGGCTATTCGAAGATCGCTGGATGACGAGATTGCCAAGATGAGTGTGGGACCGAGCAATCATCAAGAGTGATATTCTCCCTGCTCATAAACAGCTGATAATCATACTCAATATTTAATGTTATATTGTTGTAACAATGGTTTTAATGTAAGCATCAGAACACACGTTTTAAAGTAGGGGGAAGTAGGGTTTATATGTATGTCTACTGTGTATTTACTTCTATTATTCAATAAACTTACCTCATGGTAATTAGAAGTTATTTTCTGTTGAAATCCTAACCCTAACAATGTTCTCACAAGGTGCTAGTCAAAGCTGAACTAATAAAGCAATTGGCATTCTTAGGTAATTACATTCGTACTTACGTTCATATTTTTTTATTTGGAGGGTAAAAGGAAAAAAAATCACTAACTAAACCTTCTTGTAAAATTGGATGTCCCCATTGTTCTTAGGGAATTTTCCCCGGCACGGTTACCCAGGGCCACTTAACTTTTTTTCATTTTGATGTCCCCAGAGGCCAAAAACATTATTCATTCAGTATTAAAAATATGTGTGTGTCCGAGAACACGATGGACATAAACAAGGGCAATATTGTGGTTTGATTTTGATTTTGATTTTTATTTTTGGCATGTGTGTGGAGAGCTGAATAAATTATTTCCTGAACCTACGGAGCATGATCGGACTTTAAGAATGGGGTAGTATGAGATTAATATTGGTTTCCTCATTTTACCCTCAGAATAAAAATTGCTGCAATTCTTTTTCAATGTGGAGCTTAAAAACAAAAAAATATTAAGTATTTTTAGGTGTTTTTGACCTCTTAATGGTTAAAAAATAAAATATTTGATAAAGGTACATTTTAAAATCCGTATGATCAAGAATCAAGAATTGTTATTCATCATTAAGCGCTATGTACATTACATGCAATGGATGAACGTCATTTAACAGTAGCCTAAAGTTTACAGGCAATAAGGGTAAATATAAATATAAACAATTAAGTGCAGTGTATACATGCAAAGTATCACAGTCATCTATATATATAAAAGGTAAAGCCCTCACTGACTGACTCACTCACTCATCACTAATTCTCCCACTTCCCATTTACCTAGGAGGCTGAAATTTGGTAACTGATTCTTTAGGCATTAAATAGGAAAACTAAGTTGTTTTTATTCTGATCGGGCTCCGTCCCAGTGGCTCTGGAGTTTCCCGTGTTAACCTTATGAGTACTCATATTTAAATGGAATTAATGACTCTTAACAGCTGTTTCAATTAAACAAGTTGGTTCTGTTCTATGATGTGCAATAGCATTAAAGTTACAAGGATTACCAACAGGGTGCAGCACTGTTATTTTTTTTTTAATTTATGACAACAGCTAATTTGCAACCAAAAGGTGAGTGAGCGTAGCTAACGAACTTCAACCTGGAGGCGAGTAAGCGTAGCGAACGAGCTAACCTGAAGGCAAGTGAGCGCAGTGAACGAGCTCCAACCTAAAGGTGAGTGAGCGTAGCGAACGAACTTCAACTAGGACGTGATTGAGCCATGCGAACACGCTCACTTATGAAGTAAAACGGGGCAAAGCCTGCGGGTACAGCTAGTATTAAAAATAAAATACTGAAGGTTATAAAAAACATGCAAAGACTAGAGCAAACATGTGAAAACAGGTGCACTGTGTATACAATACATGCAGTGTGTTTTCAATAAATTAGTAAAAACAAAGCAGGGGAAAGAAAAGAGTATACAATTTAAAATACAATGCTAGCAAACAGACAGATAAATAACTTATAAAACAACTCAGCCCTTGGCTATATCACAGACAGACAGAATTTAAAATTAGTGAAAGACACATTACAGAAACAGGCTACTTGTTAAGTAATTAATATATACATAGTGTGATGCTGGGATTGTGATTTACTCAAACGAACATAAGGCTGATTGAGTGAGGACATGCTTCTAGTGCAATAACCATGCACACTACTTCTGAGTGGATACTCATGCAGATGTTGCTTAACATGCAATAGGCAAACATAAATATACTGGTTAATCACTGCCAAGATTTCTTCGCTGACAAAGAGAGGTTTACAGTGTGCTTTAAAAGCTGAGTGTGTGATTATACGCATTGCCTTTTTTTGTAAGCGCAAGACTTTATCAATACTGTGGCCATTCCCCCATAGACGAATGCCATAAGAAATTATTCCATTAAACAAAGCATAATACACATTTTTCAGGTAGACTTTAGGGATCAGCTTCTTTAAATGCCACAAAAGAGAAATCACTCTAGATAGTCTGGTACAAACATTCTGTAGGTAAGTTTGGTGTGTCAACAGTAATACCTAAGAGCTTAACGACAGAATCTACAACTACATCAGATTGAACATCAAACTGGCACAAGGAAAAACATATTTGTTGGTTTTTATTGGGTATTCAAAAGGAGGCCATTAGCTTCAAACCAGATTGTGCCATCTGCCATCACATCAGACATAATGTTACAGAGCTCAGCAATATTGTTACCTGAACAGAAAAAGGTAGTGTCATCAGCAAATATGACTTTGTTACAACTAATATTTACAGGAAGGTCATTAATTAAAACAAGGAACAGAAAAGGGCCCAGAACCGATCCCTGAGGTACACCACTTTTGACTACCGCTACCTCTGAGAGACTGTTTTAAAAACAAACTTGTTGCCTGCGGTTTGCCAGATAATTTCTAAAATACCCCCGTTGCAGCAAACCTGCATACTAAGCGAATTTCCATTTACCCTGCTTGATTTCTACTAAAATATTACCTATAAATTTTCAGATTTATTTCCTATTTAAATAACATTAATTTTAGTGAGTAGTTAGGTTTGCTGCTACGGGGAAGATGTTGAGGTGTGTTTTTTCAATTGAAATATTGATAGCTTAGTATGAAATAAGCCAAATTGCCAAATTTGATTAAAATATATCCATAAACAAGCAAACTAGAACAGTTTATTTATTCTCCATAAGAATAACATGGGAATTTTAAATTTACAATTTTTTTAATTTTCTCCGTAGTCAATTAACATTCAAAAAAACTTCAATATACTAAATTATTTGTTTTTTTAAGCTCTTCAAAATGGTCTAGAGATAAATTCAGAAATTTAAAGTTTTCAGTGTCAAAAATGAGAAAAACCCATTTTTACCCCATAAAACCCCCCATAAACCCCTGATCCCATGGTCCGATTATGCTGGTTCGCGAACTCGTTCGAATAAATGTAGGTTTACACGTTTGTACCAAATTTCATCAAAATCGGATCAATTTTGCTCGAGTTATCGCGCTAACGGACACATAAATAAATATATATATATATGTATATATATATATATGTGTGTATATATATATATATGAATTTGAACGGATGGTGTTTTTGGCCTCTGGGGACCTCAAAACGAAAAAGTAAATCGGTCCCGGGTCTAGGTCTTACCATGAGACCTACGGTAATAGCTTATTCCCTATATGGGAAATTCGCTAAAAACTTAGCTCCACGCCACTTACAACATAATACAGTAATTTATTGAGAAGGATCTCATGAGACACACAGTCAAACGCCTTAGTCAGATCACATAAGGTGGTCAGGGTACTACGGTGGTTTTCAAAGCTATCGAACATGAAACACACATAAAACAGTTTTACACTTTACAAGAAAATGAACCAAAAAGAAACAAACATAAGGGACAAGACGCCTCAAACAAGCTGGACGGGACCAAGAACTATAAAATTGTCTTCAGTTGATCCATAAGGAATCTGTAATCTTTATATAAAAGAGTATGTTTTAATCTATGATCAACAACATTGAATTTTTAGGTACGACCTTTTAAGATGATTTTTTGTATATGACCTATTAAAGATTTTCTTATTTTGTAACCTTTGTTTAGTGTTAGTAATGTAAACAAAAATTTCAGTGTATTTATGACCACTTATTTTATTATCTTCACACATGTGATGTAGTTCTACTTTGAAAGTTATAGTACTTCCTACACTTTTTATCATGGTCACTGAGTCGGAAATTACATTCTGAGTTCATTATTTTGACTGTACAGTACCTTGTTTTAGTCATCCTTATAGTAGCTATAAATGTTTATAAACCTCTTTTTTATAAACCTGTATGTCGGGTATTTTGCTCGAGGTAGGCTAAGGTTGCTTCGCGGTCGCAACGGTAGGCCTACTTGGAACAGCACGTTTCTTACAGTCATTAAAGCGTGTTGTAATTGTAGAGCAATTGATAGAGCAGATTAGTTCCCGGTAAGGCCAACAGTGCTCAGGTAGGGATATTTAGTAGACACTTGTCGCAATTGGCACTCCTGACAATGCAACTAAATGTTGCATTATGTCGAGAAAACAGAGGTGAGACGGCCAACTCTGATATCCATGAAATAGAACATTATTTTATCTTCTACGTTTTTATGTTTAATTTCTGATTTCTGTTGGTTTTGACTTCAAGTGGTAGCCAAAATAAAAGTCCTGTGGTATTTAGATTTGGATACCTGCTTACAATTTTCCATCTTGGGGCCCTCCCAATTTGTATATTTTCATCGGATCGTTTTCCGTGGTCTACTTGAAACCACGTCTCTCTGCAAAACATAATTAACAACTATCAACAGCTTCGACTGATTTATTACAATTACATTTTTGATACATGACGAATCAAAAAGTTTCAAATATACTGCTGTTTTTTAAGATATGTATTTTTTTTTAATGTAAAGACTTCAATTAATTTACTACTTAAGCTCTATTTTTAATATACAGTATAGGGATCTAAATTAAAAGAATAATAATCCCAACGTCAGTGACAGATTTAATACTTTGTAAAATAATAAAAAAAAAATAATACAGACGCGTCGATATATGTATTTGTTAACCTATAATAGTCTAGTATTTTTAGAAAAAAACAAAGTGCATAAAACCATTAAATTCTGTTATAGCTTAAATCCTCTTTTAATGAAGGAAAGGTGAGGGGAAATTAAAGTTCTTTAGGCTTTGAACAAAATTTTATTAAAGATTGTTATATTTGGTACATTTACAAATAATCAACATGTACTTACAAAACAGTTTAGTCCCATTTTCATAATTTGCTTTGGCATGAGCAAAATGTACATTTTTATTAAATTAAATATTGGTATTTACATTATCTACACTTTTTTATTTTAAATACTAGCAGGTCACATAAATAGATGCAAACCAGGAAAGGACAGTTGTAGAAGAGTTTGTCTTATATTATGACAGAAGAGTGAAGATATAAAATTACTGTGTGTAGACTAATATAAATAATATCAGCATTGTACATGTTATTAAATTTACGGAAAGTAAATAAAAGATGCATCTAATAACACTTAAAACATATATTTATACGCTTATTCTGTTAAATCACAAGACGGTGAATATACATAAAAGATGGTAAGTGGTGATCGATTTCGATTAAACACATTAATCATCTTCAGACCCAATAGGCGAATGACATGGATACATTCACCTATTGGGTCTGATGATGATTGGAGTGTCCAATCGAAATCGATCACCACGTACCATCTTTTATGTAATTTTACCGTGTTGTGTATTAACAGTATAATCGTAAATATCTGTTTTAAGGTTTATTAGACGTATATTTTATTTACTTTAAAAAACATTTAGTTTGATAAATGTTTTTAATCAACGTATCTTAACATTTCTCTTAGGTCCTACTACCTCTCGTTTGACTCTATTTTTTCTGATTCTTTTGTTTGGATTTTAAACTTTTTCTTATAAGTCTAAGGTAAAAGTACTGTACAAAATTGAGGACAATTTTGATCTCCACATACGCTGTTAACTAAGAAATTGTATGCCATTCTTTTAAGAACGAAGCAAGGGCTTATAATATAAATTGTGTTGTGGATACGCCAGGTTTATTAACTTGATTTTATAATCCAATTTTCGTGTCCTTTTATTCATTTCGCGAATCCAATACATGTTTTATTAATTCGACAGGAGATTTGCTAGAAATTTATTTGAAAATACCGAACTTCAAGTGTAATTTGTGTCTATGTGACTTCAAAAATATTGGATTATTACTGTCGATGGGCTTTAAATCAGTTCGCTGGGAGTATGAACACACATTAATAAATTACTAGAAATAAACTCAACCTAAGATTTGAACTGGTCATGGAAAGCTAGTTATTGTACAATGACTACAGTATGTACAGGGTGTGAAGGCCATCGTCATACAAGGGTGTCCAGGGGATGGTAGGTACACTCTTCGCTGCTGCTGTGTAGAGAGCTGAGGCCAGAGTCATGGTCTCCCTTGCTACGTCCCTCGGCCACCCTCGTCAGTCGCTCCGTCTCTCCGTCCGTCACCTCCAGGTCCAGCTGCAGTCGCCTCAGGTACCGTCTCCGACAGTCCAACGCCGTGTCCGTCTCAGTCAACGTACACGTCGTCCTCTCCAACTCTTTGGCGTTCCTCTCAGTCTCTTCTCGCAATCTGTCCAACTCACCCCTCAGTTCGCTCAGTTCGTCACTTCTCTTAATAGCTACGGTTAACCTTAACACGGATTCTTCCTCCTTTTCTAACTTTTTATTGACCCTCACGATTTTCTCCCACAGCTCAATCCGTTTTTGCAGGTCGTGAATTTCTGCCTCCAGGTCCTCCTCTATGGTCGGGTCGTCGTCTTCTTCTTTGGTGTCTTCTCCCGTAGGCGTGCTCGTGTTCTCGCTGCTGGGCTGTTCGGTTACGACGCCGCTGTCATTCTCTTTCTCCTCCTCTTCTCCACAAGCGTCGCCCAGGTAAGTCTCCAGCAGGTAGTTGGAACCCAGCAGCTTCGTCCTCGTCCTGTGTTTTTGTTCCTCGAGGTTGTCTATCTGGTCGTCCCTGTCGTGTAACCTCTTCAGTTGGTTCTGGATCGTCTCCCCCTGTACCAAGATTAACTTCAAAAGTCTCTCGATGTTCTGTGACTTGGAAATTTGTGCCAACCTCCGTGGATGCACGGTCTGTGATAGGTGCTGTTTCTGGCGGTAGTGCTTCCTCCGTCTACTGACGCTGGCCGGGCTGCCTCTGCCGCTGTCATCGTCGGCCACTCTTCGCAGCGACAGTCGGACATCGCGCTGCTCCTCGCCCCACGCCGCCCACAGCTTCAGCAGCCTCGTGTCATTGTTTAGAGGACGCTCGACCTTCCTCCATCGCTCCACTAACACGTAGCCCTCGTCTGGACGACCCAGAAGCGCCGTGATGACATCAGACACTGTAGTCTTGCGGTCCACGCCGCGTACCCATAGCTGCTGTCCTGACACCCAAACCGGCACCTCGCCCGTCCCGGTCATGCCCTGTAACATATACCACACACATTACATACATAATTTAATATGAAAAAACTAAAAATAAGTTATCCATTTTATAATTGACAGTACCAATTTACAAAATTCAACAAATTATTTTGCACATAATCAACAAATTCAAGTTTTATTTCTTAGGAGATTATCTCCGTTAAATACATCAATATTAGGAGTCCATTATGAGTATTGAGACATATCCATTCCTCAACCACGTGCAATATATTATTTTCAATAGGCGAGTAAACCCTCTCGCTCCATATACTAAAACTGCTGCAGACTGACTTTTGCTGGTTACTATTGATATCAAAGGGGTTGGCAATATTTTTGTAGGTGAAGCATAGTAAAATTAGCTTAACATAAGCTTTGTAATTGGGAGGAAATGTTGATAACTTTAATTTTTCAAAGTGTGAGAAAAATATTAAACTGTCACGCAGCATAAGCTTTCAAAATTATATGTAAGAATAATTGCATGGTCAAAACATAATTTAATGTATATGTTCATCCTTAACTTAAACGCTTTGGCTACTTGTGCGGCTACCGGATACCCATTGGGTATACAACAGAGAGTCATGACGTCATTGTATGCCACTCACTGTCCCCTCCCTTCACACAATCGCACATGGCCATATCGGAAAATACATCTCAAATCTCTATTTCAATCTGTAACAGTCACACTATCTATATATATATATATATACTAGCTGTGTACCCGTTCTACGCACGGGGATCTTATAATATTCAGTTGAAACCTTCTTATATAACGAACAGCAGTTGGTTTGCATATTTTAAGATATGCTGGCCAAACTATTATACATAGCTTCATTTTATGTTGTTTTTTGTTGTTCCGGATCGGTATGACAATCAATAAAAGGTTAAATTACCTCTGTGTCTGCCGGTCGATCCTATAACGGTAGGCTTACTTTTATTTTTACTATCTGATCTCGTTTGCATGGCTCAATCACGTCCTGGTTGAAGTTCGTTCGCTACGCTCACTCACCTGTATGTTGGAGCTCGTTCGCTGCGCTCACTTTCCTTCAGGTTAGCTCGTTCGCTACGCTCACTTGCCTTCAGGTTAGCTCGTTCGCTACGCTCACTCGCCTCCAGGTTGCAAATTAGCTGTTGTCATAAATGTAAAAGAAATAATAGTGCTAGTGCTGCACCCTGTTGGTAATCCTTGTAACTTTAATGCTATTGAACATCACAGAACAGAACCAACTTGTTTAATTGAAACAGCTGTTAAGATTCAATAATTTCATTTCTCATAAGGTTAACATGGGCTTCCAGAAATTCCACGTCAAAAATCGACAAAAACTTGATTTTCAAGGGTTTACTGTTAAATATCTAACTGTCTCATATTCGATGAAATACGTCTAAAACCATCTCATATATGTATAGTATTTGGAAAATAAGTTTCAGGCGGGACAGTGCTATAGTTATTGAGGAGTAGTTGTAATAAAGTGCGTATTTTAGCGTTACCAAGAGAATGACAGATAGACAGACAGACAGACAGACAGACAGACAGACAGACAGACAGAAATTGAGATAAGGTTTGATTCGGTTTCTCTGACCTATGAAATGTAAAAATAACCAAAAAGTTCATTATTCTAAGCAATGTACAGACAAAACTCTAATTTTATTTATATAGATATATATATATATATATATATATATACTTATTTAATACGCAAGAAGGTTTTTGTGACAATTACTCCTCCGAAACTACTGAACCGATTGACATGTTTTTGGTGTCGTTGGAAAGAGCGTAAAGTGTAAAGTGAAGTTGTGCAGGAAACTTTCTTTTTAGGGAAATAATTAGAGAGTGAGGCCCTGGGGCCCTTTAAAGTTCTTTCAGATGTTGTCAGAAATTAATCATTGAAAGAGCCGATTTGCAAACTATGGTAACATAGGAAAGTCATAGAACACCAACAAGGAGAAGAAATAGAAATCATGTTTTTTTTAGAATTTATAATCGTTATTATGGACAGCCTAATGCGGCTATGAGAAAGGCCATTTGTAGAAAACACTAAATAATTTATAAATAAAAATACTTTTTAAAAATGCCACGTTTTTAAACGCACTAAAAAGTATAAAATAATTTATAGAATGTTGAGAGAATAAATACTTGTAAGATTTAAAACGAAAAACGTGGGGCTTTTAACCCTGTGAAATTATGGCAAACCTATTTTAACAAAGTTAATTTCAATACAAATTATATTTAAAATCTGAACAGTAAGTTATGTACAGATCCACGGGATCATTATGTAAATTTACACAACTATTCCACCATTCCCACTATTTAGGCAAAATAAATATATTTTGTGCAATATTAGCCAAGAAAATGGTTTGGTAATTTGACTCATCAAGGCAAAATAAGACCATCACAGTCAATGGTACTACAATTGGGATTAAAATTGAGATCCATGCGGAGAGGTAGTTTTTCCCTTTTAAGATATTACTTTTTCACCTGAGACATGGATACGTTCTTTCTTAGGCAATCCCGACAACCAGACCAAGTCAAGGCATAAAAATCGGTTCAAAATTCTAGATGCTTACAACGTCTACAGACGAAGTAAACCACAGCTGATCAGTTTGTTGAGAGGTGAAGCAACCTTTACTACCCAATATCAACTAAAGGAACCCACTTAGATAGAGCAATCAGAAGACACCCGAATTGGAATAATAGTTCATTTACTCACAAAACACCATAGCATAACTATTCACAAAACACCAACTCTTCAATATTCCAATACTTCAGCCCAAAATTGATTGTCTGTTGTCTGAGGGATTTCTCAAATAAGCAATCAAATGCATCTCAAGAGCCAGATGCCGTACTTAGCTGTAATTGTGGGAGAAAATCATTAATCCATCCGGCGTAGCATTCCTCGGTATTCATGTATATCAATGTGCATGTTCATCATTTTAGAATTAGGTCTATTACGTTTAAATTAATACATTTACAGTATGAAATATGGAAATACTACCTTATTACTGCATTTAGCTCTTCTGATATTACATTAAAAGTTTACTTAATCATGTGCTTAGTTTGTAACACGCTATTATTTGAGGAACATATTTGAAAGCATTGAGTGAGAAATGTAAATTTAGTGTAGCGAATAAATGCCATACAATTAATCAGACGCGGTAATTGGATGGCTTAGAACACTTTACAACCGGTCTGTCTAGAGTTACAACTTAGTTGCCAAGTCCCACGAGTCACACTTGCACTTGAATTCTACCATTCAAAATTATGTGAACACCCGGCCCCCGTCGCATAACGTGACTGGCAAATACTAACTACAGCCCACGTCTAGACGCGCTACAGACCTGGTATTGGAATGAAAATGTACAGTATTTTTCAATGTTATGTTGTTCAATGTCTTAACGTGCAGTGTCCCCTTTATGGGATATAACCAAATGTGGAACTGGCTGACTTTCTTATACGATCCTTAAACCCCCGTCCAATTGAGTCTGTTATAATATAAACATAGGAAGTAAACCAAAATTATCGAGACGTCTTGAAAAGTCGTATTTTCTATTTTGTAAGTCTTTAAAAATTATAAATTACAGACGTAAAAGTATCTTAAATCTTAATTGGTAATGTAGCTCTGTTAGCTATTACACCTTCGTATAGCTCTGAATTATAAAACATCTTAAAGACTACTCATTGACATTAATTTCATTCAATTTTCATCGATTATAGCAATTAAGGACACTGCAAAATTGTAATCAAATTAAAAGTATGCAATATTTCCCGGATAATTAATTGAATTGTAAATTTACTGTCTTTCGGTTTCTCTTGGCAGCTTAGGTTATCGGGTCTAATTAGAGCGACGATGTAGAGAGAAGAATCCCGTTCCGGCTTCGGCCTCTGCCTCACACCGTGAATTAATCAAACTGAGACGTCAAGGCCAGTAGAGAATGAACGATCTACCCTTGGTTAGATTAGGAAAAGTCTATAACTACAGGGAAGTGAATGATCTACCTCTGAGTAGCTGAGGATAAGAAAATACCAATAGAGATGTTAATGATCTACCTCTGATTTGCTGGCTCTTCCCAACAGGGAAGTAAATTATCTACTTGTGACTGGCTAAGTATAAGTCAACACCAACAAAGAAGTAAATTATCTATTGTAAATATTTATTTGTGATCAATGTGTGTGTAAATTATACCAAATCGACAATATCTCAAGCAAGAGATGACAAACAAGAAGTTTAGCTAACCTATGAGACAAAGGACTGACGATAACGTTTCGACGTAGAAACCTAGGTCTCCAATATATAAAAAATTGGATCGTAAGGTAAGCCTTAGATTTAATTAAGTAAATTATCTACCTCTGGCTGGCCGAGGAAAAGACAATACTAATAGAGGTAATAATTATCTACGTCTTTCTGGCTGTGGACAAGTCAATACTAATAGAGGTGTTAATGATCTACGTTTTGCTGGCTGTGGGCAAGTCAATACTAATAAAGGTGTTAATGGTCTACGTCTGGATGGCTGTGGAAAGGTCAGTACTAATAGAGGTGATAATTATCTACGTCTTGCTGGCTGTGGACAAGTCAATACTAATAGAGGTGATAATTATCTACGTCTTGCTGGCTGTGGACAGGTCAATACTAATAGAGGTGTTAGTGATCTAAGTCTTGCTGGCTGAGGACAGGTCAATACTAATAGAGGTGTTAGTGATCTAAGTCTTGCTGGCTGTGCACAAGTCAATACTAATAGAGGTGTTAATGATCTACGTTTTGCTGGCTGTGGGCAAGTCAATACTAATAAAGGTGTTAATGATCTACGTCTGGATGGCTGTGGAAAAGACAGTACTACTAGAGGTGTTAATGATCTACGTCTGGATGGCTGTGGACAGGTCAATACTAATAGACGTGTTAGTGATCTAAGTCTTGCTGGCTGTGCACAAGTCAATACTAATAGAGGTGATAATTATCTACGTCTTGCTGGCTGTGGACAGGTCAATACTAATAGAGGTGTTAGTGATCTAAGTCTTGCTGGCTGAGGACAGGTCAATACTAATAGAGGTGTTAGTGATCTAAGTCTTGCTGGCTGTGCACAAGTCAATACTAATAGAGGTGATAATTATCTACGTCGTGCTGGCTGTGGACAGGTCAATACTAATAGAGGTGTTAGTGATCTAAGTCTTGCTGGCTGTGCACAAGTCAATACTAATAGAGGTGTTAATTATCTACGTTTTGCTGGCTGTGGGCAAGTCAATACTAATAAAGGTGTTAATGATCTACGTCTGGATGGCTGTGGAAAAGACAGTACTACTAGAGGTGTTAATGATCTACGTCTGGATGGCTGTGGAAAAGACAGTACTACTAGAGGTGTTAATGATCTACGTCTGGATGGCTGTGGATAAGTCAGTACTAATAGAGGTGTTAATGATCTACGTCTGGATGGCTGTGGATAAGTCAATATTAATAGAGGTGTTAATGATCTACGTCTTGCTGGCTGAGTATAGATCAATAGAGATGTTAATAATCTACCCTCGGCTCAAAGTGTTAGGTCAAGACCCACAGATCTCTGGCTGAGGATAGGTCAAGACCAACAGAGAAGCGAATGATCTACCTCTGGCTCAAAGTGATAGGTCAAGACCCACAGATCGCTGGATGAGGATAGGTCAAGACCAACAGAGAAGTGACTGATCTACCTCTGGCTCAAAGTGATATGTCACGACCCACAGATCGCTGGATGAGGATAAGTCAAGACCAACAGAGAAGTGAATGATCTACCTCTGGCTCAAAGTGATATGTCACGACCCACAGATCGCTGGATGAGGATAGGTCAAGACCAACAGAGAAGCGAATGATCTACCTCTGGCCCAAAGTGATAGGTCAAGACCCACAGATCGCTGGATGAGGATAGGTCAAGACCAACAGAGAAGTGAATGATCTACCTCTGGCTCAAAGTGATATGTCACGACCCACAGATCGCTGGATGAGGATAGGTCAAGACCAACAGAGAAGTGAATGATCTACCTCTGGCTCAAAGTGATATGTCACGACCCACAGATCGCTGGATGAGGATAGGTCAAGACCAACAGAGAAGCGAATGATCTACCTCTGGCCCAAAGTGATAGGTCAAGACCCACAGAGCGCTGTCTGAGGATAGGTCAATAGAGATGTTAATAATCTACCCTCGGCTCAAAGTGTTAGGTCAAGACCCACAGAGCACTGGCTGAGGATAGGTCAAAACCAACAAAGAAATGAATGATCTACCTCTGGCTGAAAGTGATAGGTCAAGACCCACAGATCGCTGGCTGAGGATAGGTCAAGACCAACTTCATTTAAGCTGGGTCCAGACTCCTACAAAAATCGAGCTGGGACTGTATACTGTATGGTGGTTTTTCATAATAACATTTCATATTTACTTTTATTACATATTTTACTGGTACGAGCAGCAGAGACTCGACACTTTAGTTCTATGCACTGATATTAGTATCAGTGTTTAGTGTATTGTATTCAATGGTGTTGTTCCATATTACCATGACAAAGCCGCACTCTTGAAAGGTGGAGACACAACATGCTTGACAGTTTGACAGCCTCTTTATACAGCAATGCGATAGAAAGAACCAGCCGTGTTCTTCTGTTGATTAATGAGGTCGAGTTCACGCATAGCCCTCTAGACTCATATCTTCTAGCAAAAATATAATTTTAAAACACTACAGTAAAGCTTACCTAAACATCATTCCGAAATTGACTAACTATTTCTGATTTGTCATGAATAAACCAGAAATGGCTTTATCATAAGAAGAGAGGTACTGTCACTTAAGTTCGACAAAACCCCTCTATAATGTTCCAAGTGTTGCAGCATCCTAAGGAGCACTACGTTACTCGTTTTTTAAATATTTAAACTGCTTTATACAATCCTTTATATTTTCACGAGTGCTACGCTCATTGTTTCCAAATGAGGGTTATACATGACGACTGTATTTCTTCTGAAATAATGCCAATTGAGGTTCATGCAGCTATCCCAGAGTCTATAATCTCCCTCGATAGATTGTAGGGCGATATTGTATCCAAGAGCACAGTATTTTTGTTTTATCATGGCCATCTTATAGTCACAGAAGATGAAGATTCATAATATCTGGTTGGTGACGGATGTCCGCCGCATGATCGAAGTAATGTAAGGGTGTAAGGAGGATGAGGATATCCGGCTGGTCAAACCCATCAATATGCTGTGCATGATGTTGTCTCTTAGCATTCTGATCGTCTTTCTTAGCTCATACTAGGCTCAATGTACAGTCAAAACTATCATGGTAGTTTAAACCTTTGACAAATCTACAAATATTTAAGACTTATCAATGAGCATCTTTCACTTTATATTAGCATATTAATATATAGAATTAACAATGTTGTGCTCCGTTTACATTAATTTAATTATGGTTACGTTAGGATTGATTAGGCAAACCACTAAAAGATAGTTTTTTCTCACAATCTTTCGCGTAGATTAACTTGGTTGGTCTATTGTAAACTAGGTTTGCGGGTACATGTTTAGTGACCGAGGTGTCATTGAGCCGGACACCTCCACTCTGCGGTTGCGGTCACTTCGCCACCCAATCACTTATCTGGATTATATTTCACATAATCTACGTGATTTCACAAGTCTTTAGTTTCTAAAACCTCTATACAGTTCAAGATAACAATGATATAACTGCATCGCTTAGTTGATTTGCTGTACATATAGTTAAATAGGAATGTATAGTATTTAGATACATTAAGTTTTGAACCAATTACTTAGGTGCTAATATACTCGGTTCACCTCCTTAAAATCCCACCGGGATACGGCTTTTGCACGTCCAAATATTCGAGGTGGATCTTTATGTAATTAACTGGTTTCTTCAGTAGATTTACAGAAGATAGTTCAGAGGTTTTCTCCACTGCAAACTCATCCCGTTGCAAATCAGCTCACAAATAGAAAACTCAACACTATAACAAGGAAATCCTTGGGGGAACCAAACGGCCGAAATGTTAGAGTAGACTATTGTTTGATAAGTTGAAGCGGATATTTTACAGTTTTAATAGCGTAGGTGTAGATCACGAACCCGAGTTTCCTAACCAAGTCCGAGGTCTGTAATTTGACGGCGTGGCGTTGCGCGGACGGTAGCGGCTGGCGGGCACAGCGGCCACCCACCCCACAAACACGTACACTCCCAGGCACACGTGATTGAGTTATGCAATTTTCAATCATTCTACATCGCTGTTCTATTCAGCCAGCAACGTAATATAAGGCCTTCCTCCGAATGCAAATAAGATTAGAATTTCCAGTGGGAGAATCCAGTATTTGTGGATATAAAACGTCTTCGTGTCAGTGAATCAACTAGGTTCAACATGAACTCTGACACAAATATTTCAAAGAGTTCGTGAACCAGCTTCATCTGATAATTAGAGAAAGAATTCGAGGGGGTTTAAGTTTATTTTATTTTCTTAATGATCATACTGAAAAATAAAGTAAATTTCTATCTTGTACTTTTCTAACTACTGTAGTTTGAAAATAGACGGTTTCGCCCATTTCATCTTTATGGGTTATAATAATTTTTCTATATGGACGTATCTTCATTTTTTTTCATTAAATTGTGAGTCAAAAATTAAAGGAAAATTATGAATTCATTTTTATTGTTTAATTAGGTCACTCGTCACAATATATTTTACGGATTTGAGTTTTGAATATCATAATATGTATGTTATATATTCATAGTTCAAAGAATAAGAATAAGAATATTTATTTTCTCCCAGTAATACAAGTATTACAATAATTAAAATTACAATGCACAAACACAATAAAAAGAAATTGATATAATATTCTATTAAAACTAAATGTCCCACGTGTCAGACTGACTAAGAAGAAAAAAAAACACTAGCTTTTATTCACAACAATATCAACATAATAAAGAAAACTAAGAATTAAAGTCAAAGAATTAGAATCAAAGTGCTATAATGTATTTAAATTTTATATTTGCCAGACAACATACAATATATACATAGATATATTTCTATTTCCGATTCTTTATAACTTGTTACTGTCCAATATAAAAAGGCCATATGCTTTTATCAAGCTATCTTGTAGTTATCTTATAATTCTAGACTCATCTATCATTCATATTTGGGTTCAAATACGCCTTACGGTTCAAATATAGATAGTGAGTGATTTAGTCATTATCCAGAAACTACTATAATTTGACTTTAACAGCGATATCAATCAACCGCCAAGTGTGAGCCTCGTTGTTATCTGACAGGTGTTTGTCAGCTGTTTTGTCTACAACCGAGTTATTACTGAAGTTAAACGGCAATAAACTAACAATAACAATTTATCAGCTGAAAGCTCGTAAAGCCGGTGGTTTAGTACGGGTAAATCACGCTCCTGAGGAGCACAATTACTATTACACCATTCTTAACGACAGCGACAATAGCGCGGCGCGGCGGTGGCGGACTGAACTTTCCCTGTGTTTGTGACATAATAATGTAAATGAACCAGGCATAATGAATAGCGCATTATAATGAGTAGCTGAGGGCCTTATTGCGCAAGTTCTCGCGCATTGACCCATCTGCAACAATGCTGATTGATTGCAAATTCTTGCGCATTGACCCATCTGCAACAATGTTGACTGATTACAAATTCTTGCTAAAATGCTTTTTATTACACGTTCTCGCGGATTGACCTTCTGCTAATTGGGTACTTCAGTATTAAACGGAGGCCACATTTTGTCAGCGCGCTGCGGCGGTTATGTTAGGTTGGGTTATCGTAAATATTATGTGTGTAGGACTTTCCTCGCTTCGTTATGAATCGAACGATACTTTCTATTATGATAACCCAACCTAACATAACCGCCGCAGCGCGCTGACAAAATGTGGCCTCCGTTTAATACTGAAGTACCGCTAATTGATTTCAAACTCTGGTGTATTTAACTGTCTGTTACAATACTGATCGATTACATGTTCTCGCACATTGTTCCATCTGCTACAATGCTAATTTATTACCTACAAATGTTCTCGCACATTGACATTTTTGCTACAATGTTGATCGATTGCATATTCTCGTGCATTAACCTATATGCTACAATGCTGACTGATTAACTAGAATAATTGCAAATTCTCTTAAAGGAATCCTGCATACAGGTGAGAAATGAGTAGCATTTTCAGATTAGTAGTTGACAATGCGTAGGCAGATAGCATATTATGAAAGGCGTAGGATCATGCCCTTGCATTATGTATCTAACAATTAATGGAACCTACACTACTGCAAATCAACGGATGAATAATCTGTAGTCAATCAAGAACGTATTTGCTACTTCTTCTGTAAGAGTTGTATGCAATACCTGAAAATCCTACATCCGCAGTAAACATATGTTTGTTTATGACCCACGTGCTTAAGGAGTGCCTACAACTTAAGATGCGTAAGTAGGTAATTGATATTAGGTAGTTATACTATACTATATAAACTGCATATCTATGAAACAGAGGAGCGAGGGAGTGTTTACATTAGGTACGCTGGTCATTCCCCACAGTGTCTAAGCCTGCCAACAACTGTCTGTCCTGGGCTCACAGCACAGTTGTATCATTCCAACATACATTACCAGAGGTACGCAGGTCATTCTCCACAGTGTCTGAGCCTGCCAACAACTGTCTGTCCTGGGATCACAGCACAGTTGTATCATTCCAACATACATTACCAGAGGTACGCAGGTCATTCCCCACAGTGTCTAAGCCTGCCAACAACTGTCTGTCCTGGGATCACAGCACAGTTGTATCATTCCAACATACATTACCAGAGGTACGCAGGTCATTCCCCACAGTGTCTGAGCCTGCCAACAACTGTCTGTCCTGGGCTCACAGCACAGTTGTATCATTCCAACATACATTACCAGAGGTACGCAGGCCATTCCCCACAGTGTCTGAGCCTGCCAACAACTGTCTGTCCTGGGCTCACAGCACAGTTGTATCATTCCAACATACATTACCAGAGGTACGCTGGTCATTCCCCACAGTGTTTGAGCCTGCCAACAACTGTCTGTCCTGGGCTCACAGCACAGTTGTATCATTCCAACATACATTACCAGAGGTACGCAGGTCATTCCCCACAGTGTCTGAGCCTGCCAACAACTGTCTGTCCTGGGCTCACAGCACAGTTGTATCATTCCAACATACATTACCAGAGGTACGCAGGTCATTCCCCACAGTGTCTGAGCCTGCCAACAACTGTCTGTCCTGGGCTCACAGCACAGTTGTATCATTCCAACATACATTACCAGAGGTACGCAGGTCATTCCCCACAGTGTCTGAGCCTGCCAACAACTGTCTGTCCTGGGCTCACAGCACAGTTGTATCATTCCAACATACATTACCAGAGGTACGCAGGTCATTCCCCACAGTGTCTGAGCCTGCCAACAACTGTCTGTCCTGGGCTCACAGCACAGTTGTATCATTCCAAAATACATTACCAGAGGTACGCAGGCCATTCCCCACAGTGTCTGAGCCTGCCAACAACTGTCTGTCCTGGGATCACAGCACAGTTGTATCATTCTAACATACATTACCAGAGGTACGCAGGTCATTCTCCACAGTGTCTGAGCCTGCCAACAACTGTCTGTCCTGGGATCACAGCACAGTTGTATCATTCCAACATACATTACCAGAGGTACGCAGGTCATTCCCCACAGTGTCTGAGCCTGCCAACAACTGTCTGTCCTGGGCTCACAGCACAGTTGTATCATTCCAACATACATTACCAGAGGTACGCAGGTCATTCCCCACAGTGTCTGAGCCTGCCAACAACTGTCTGTCCTGGGATCACAGCACAGTTGTATCATTCCAACATACATTACCAGAGGTACGCAGGCCATTCCCCACAGTGTCTGAGCCTGCCAACAACTGTCTGTCCTGGGATCACAGCACAGTTGTATCATTCCAACATACATTACCAGAGGTACGCAGGTCATTCCCCACAGTGTCTGAGCCTGCCAACAACTGTCTGTCCTGGGCTCACAGCACAGTTGTATCATTCCAACATACATTACCAGAGGTACGCAGGTCATTCCCCACAGTGTCTGAGCCTGCCAACAACTGTCTGTCCTGGGCTCACAGCACAGTTGTATCATTCCAACATACATTACCAGAGGTACGCAGGCCATTCCCCACAGTGTCTGAGCCTGCCAACAACTGTCTGTCCTGGGATCACAGCACAGTTGTATCATTCCAACATACATTACCAGAGGTACGCAGGCCATTCCCCACAGTGTCTGAGCCTGCCAACAACTGTCTGTCCTGGGATCACAGCACAGTTGTATCATTCCAACATACATTACCAGAGGTACGCAGGTCATTCCCCACAGTGTCTGAGCCTGCCAACAACTGTCTGTCCTGGGCTCACAGCACAGTTGTATCATTCCAACATACATTACCAGAGGTATGCAGGCCATTCCCCACAGTGTCTGAGCCTGCCAACAACTGTCTGTCCTGGGATCACAGCACAGTTGTATCATTCCAACATACATTACCAGAGGTACGCAGGCCATTCCCCACAGTGTCTGAGCCTGCCAACAACTGTCTGTCCTGGGATCACAGCACAGTTGTATCATTCCAACATACATTACCAGAGGTACGCAGGCCATTCCCCACAGTGTCTGAGCCTGCCAACAACTGTCTGTCCTGGGATCACAGCACAGTTGTATCATTCTAACATACATTACCAGAGGTACGCAGGTCATTCTCCACAGTGTCTGAGCCTGCCAACAACTGTCTGTCCTGGGATCACAGCACAGTTGTATCATTCCAACATACATTACCAGAGGTACGCAGGTCATTCCCCACAGTGTCTGAGCGCCTGCCAACAACTGTCTGTCCTGGGATCACAGCACAGTTGTATCATTCCAACATACATTACCAGAGGTACGCAGGCCATTCCCCACAGTGTCTGAGCCTGCCAACAACTGTCTGTCCTGGGATCACAGCACAGTTGTATCATTCCAACATACATTACCAGAGGTACGCAGGTCATTCTCCACAGTGTCTGAGCCTGCCAACAACTGTCTGTCCTGGGCTCACAGCACAGTTGTATCATTCCAACATACATTACCAGAGGTACCTGGGCTCACAGCACAGTTGTATCATTCCAACATACATTACCAGAGGTATGCAGGCCATTCCCCACAGTGTCTGAGCCTGCCAACAACTAACTGTCTGTCCTGGGATCACAGCACAGTTGTATCATTCCAACATACATTACCAGAGGTACGTTGGTCATTCCCCACAGTGTCTAAGCCTGCCAACAACTGTCTGTCCTGGGCTCACAGCACAGTTTTATCATTCCAACATACATTACCAGAGGTACGCAGGTCATTCCCCACAGTGTCTGAGCCTGCCAACAACTGTCTGTCTTGGGCTCACAGCACAGTTGTATCATTCCAACATACATTACCAGAGGTACCTGGGCTCACAGCACAGTTGTATCATTCCAACATAAATTACCAGAGGTACGCAGGCTATTCCCCACAGTGTCTGAGCCTGCCAACAACTGTCTGTCCTGGGATCACAGCACAGTTGTATCATTCCAACATACATTACCAGAGGTACGCAGGTCATTCTCCACAGTGTCTGAGCCTGCCAACAACTGTCTGTCCTGGGCTCACAGCACAGTTGTATCATTCCAACATACATTACCAGAGGTACGCAGGTCATTCTCCACAGTGTCTGAGCCTGCCAACAACTGTCTGTCCTGGGATCACAGCACAGTTGTATCATTCCAACATACATTACCAGAGGTACGCAGGCCATTCCCCACAGTGTCTGAGCCTGCCAACAACTGTCTGTCCTGGGCTCACAGCACAGTTGTATCATTCCAACATACATTACCAGAGGTACGTTGGTCATTCCCCACAGTGTCTAAGCCTGCCAACAACTGTCTGTCCTGGGCTCACAGCACAGTTGTATCATTCCAACATACATTACCAGAGGTACGTTGGTCATTCCCCACAGTGTCTAAACCTGCCAACAACTGTCTGTCCTGGGATCACAGCACAGTTGTATCATTCCAACATACATTACCAGAGGTACGTTGGTCATTCCCCACAGTGTCTAAGCCTGCCAACAACTGTCTGTCCTGGGATCACAGCACAGTTGTATCATTCCAACATACATTACCAGAGGTACGCAGGTCATTCCCCACAGTGTCTGAGCCTGCCAACAACTGTCTGTCCTGGGCTCACAGCACAGTTGTATCATTCCAACATACATTACCAGAGGTACGCAGGTCATTCCCCACAGTGTCTGAGCCTGCCAACAACTGTCTGTCCTGGGCTCACAGCACAGTTGTATCATTCCAACATACATTACCAGAGGTACGCAGGTCATTCCCCACAGTGTCTAAGCCTGCCAACAACTGTCTGTCCTGGGCTCACAGCACAGTTGTATCCTTCCAACATACATTCCCAGAGGCTGCAAAGTGAGCTTGATTGAGATATGTTGACATTTTATTTTCATAAGAATCACTATAACATTTGGATTTTTCTTAATAGTTTTAAAACTTAACGTGTTTGAGGTTAAAAAATTATCTACTCTAATTTCCACAGAGGTATTCGAGTAAAAGAGGTTTTCCAATTTTATACCTTCCTGAGGCCTATGTAATATCCATACTACTGTACGAAGAAGAGCTGTAAAAATGGCATGATTCAAGCTGGACATAAAGTATTTTTTTAATTAAAGCAAAAGCCATAAGTTTGATTTGGTTTTGTAGACCAAAATCATTGAATCGAGTCTCAGCACACGCCACACGGGTCTCTCGACCATAGATGCACTAGATAAGCTTGAAGCAGTAGTACTGCATGAATTTGAGGCTGGAGGCTTTACTGGGGCCACCCTGTATGACCTCAGCAAGGCTTTTGACACGGTCGACCATCGGATACTGCTGGGTAAATTGAATTTTTATGGAGTGTCCCACAGGGATCTTATCTGTACTGGGTCTCCTTTTGTTGATTATCATGACCAATGACCTCATTCCAAATTTTGTAGGAAATATCGTCTGCTATGCTGATGGCACTACCCTTTTTAGCTCCTCTAAAGACCTGATAACTCTTAATGGTCAAATGTCTGAGTCTATGGATATAGCATCAGCATGGTTCCGAGCTAACTTTTTTAAGTTTAATGAAAGTAAATCCCAAACCATTGTCTTTACTTTAAATCAGGGGGATCACGAAGTTTCAAATGTTAAATTACAAGGCCTATATTTGGATCCAAAGATAGACTGGCACTTTCATATTTCTCATGTCTGTAGTCGCTTGTCTAGGGTAATTTTCCTTCTTAGAAGACTTAGAGACTCTGTACCCTAGGAATGGTTAAAAACAGCCTATGTCGCATTTTTTCAGAGTGTAATTCTGTATGGTTTGCATCTGTGGGGCTCCGCATCTGGGGTCGAGAGGATCATGCTTTTGCAAAGGAAAGCAATAAGGATTGTGACTGGTGCAGATTATCTGGACCACTGTAAACCAATCTTTGTTGCCGAGTCCTTGATGACAGTTTACAATCTCTTCATTTTGCAGTGTCTCGTGTCATGTAAGAGGAAGCTCAGAGGTGGGGTCCACCACTACAACACTAGAAATAAGCAGGATCTAAACATACCTTATGTTAGACTAAAGAAAACCCAGGCTAGTAAGGAAATCTGAAGCTTGAAATTAATGCACAAATCGCCTTGTACAGTTCAGAACCTGCCAATCACTAAATTCAAAAAGAGCTTGAGGGAGTTTCTATGGGCACTTTACTCAATCCATGAGTTTTTAGCGAATTTCCCTATAGGGAAGTAGCTATTACCGTAGGTCTCATGGTAAGACCTAGGCCCGGGACCGATTTACTTTTTCATTTTGATGTCCCCAGAGGCCAAAACACCATTCGTTCAAATTTTTATATATCTATATATAGATTTAAATATATATATATATGTCCATCCGCACGATAACTTAAGTAATTTTTGTCCGATTTTGATAAAATTTGGTTTGAAGGTGTAAGGCGGGATGAACTCGAACGAGTTCGCGAACTTGTACAGTTCAGAACCTGCCAATCACTAAATTCAAAAAGAGCTTGAGGGAGTTTCTATGGGCACTTTACTCAATCCATGAGTTTTTAGCGAATTTCCCTATAGGGAAGTAGCTATTACCGTAGGTCTCATGGTAAGACCTAGGCCCGGGACCGATTTACTTTTTCATTTTGATGTCCCCAGAGGCCAAAAACACCATTCGTTCAAATTTTTATATATCTATATATAGATATATATATATATGTCCATCCGCACGATAACTTGAGTAATTTTTGTCCGATTTTGATAAAATTTGGTTTGAAGGTGTAAGGCGGGATAAACTCGAACGAGTTCGCGAACCAGTATGATCGGACTATGGGAACGGGGGGTTACGGGGGGTTTTATGGGGTAAAAATAGGTTTTTCCCATTTTTGACCAAAAATAAAATACAATTTTGCAAAATCTTTTCTAACCATTTTGTAGAGCTTAAAAAAACAAATAATTTAGTATATTGAAGTGTTACTATGCGCCGAATGGTTACGGAGAAAATTCCAAAAAAATGTAAATTTTAAATTCCCATGTTATTCTTATGGATAATGAGTAAACTGTTGTAGTTTGCTTGTTTATGAACATATTTTGATCAAATTTGGAAAATGTTTTTATTTCTTACTAACTATTAACATTTTACAAAAAAATTTTTACCCTCCCTGATGCAGCAAACCTAAGTACCTGTTAAAATAGTTCTATTTAAATAGGAAATAAATGTTAAATTTTTAAGTAGAAATTTTAGTGTAAATCCAATCAGACATATGGAAATTCGCTTAGTCTGCAGGTTTGCTGTGGCGGGGGTATTTGAACTTCATGACAACTTGTAAGTATGTTTTATTTTACGAGTTCTGCAAGTGTGGCTTAATTTTATTTTCTATGCATGGGGTGTTGAAGGAACAAACAATTTTCGTGTTTTTGTGTTCGGTGTTTGTCTTATGGTACAATTTAATGTTAAGTTCTCGTTTTTGTACAGATGATTATAACGCATCAAGATAACGTGTGGTGTAAATGATTTACTTTTTCATTTTTATGTCCTCAGAGGCTAAAACACTAGTCGTTCAAATTTGTATACATGTATGCATATATACGTTCGTGAATGCGATAACTTGGGTAAATTTATTCTGATTTTGATTAAATATGTCTTAAATCTGTAGGGCGGCGCGAACCAGCAAGATCAGGTCTGGATACTTATGGTTTTTTGAAATGTTCAAAAATAGTTTTTTTTTTATTTCTGCCCTTAAAACATGGAAATGCAATATGTTCAATACAGCCATGGTGTAGAGCTTAAAAAGACAAATAATTCTGTATAGGCCTATTGAGGGGGTTTTGTAAAACTAAAGTTACAGAGAAAATTCAAATAAATTGTACTCATGTTATTCTTATGGAGAACATGAAAACAGGTGCAGTTTGCTTGTTTGTGGATAAATTTTGATCAAATTTGGCAAATTAATTTATTTTATCATATAATATTAACAATTGGTCAAATAAACACTTGTTACCTTCCCGTGGCAGCAAACATAGGTACTCGTTAAATCTAATGTTATTAAAAGGGGAATAAACATGTCTCGTTTACGGAAATATTTGAGTAAGAATCCAATCAGACAAACTGAAATTTGCTTAGTCTGCAGGTTTGCTGTGGCGGGGTTATTGTAACTTTATCACGAGCCAAAATGTTGAAGAAAGTAAATTATTTTAACAAAATAGTTTAGCTATATTTTCTAAAGAAATCTTAGATTTCCAAATGTAAAATCAAATAGTCGTCCTCCGCTGAGGCGGTGGCTTAGACTTGGAATACGACTCATGTGGCACGCGAGCGATTATTACAATGGTAGGCTTACAGTAGCTCAGTTACTTTCCTTATACTATCTGGTTGTGAGCTTTCAACGAAAGCAACTCCCCAGATAACGCCGCGATGTGGTGATGTGGTCGTGACGCAGTACAGTAGAAGGGTTGTGTATGAACCACTTCGCCGTTATCGGGTGAAAGTCACTACTGTTATCGACTCGTTACTTGCAAATTATGTTACTGTTAGTACTGTCTTTCTTTGGCATTAATGTGGTTTGGAAAACATACCAGTTAAATGATTTTTGCCACTTAAGCGATTTCCCCACATTCTTAGATGAAAGGGAGATAATGGAGACCATGTCTTCACCACTTCCTATTCCCATTAACTTAAGTATTTTGTATCTACACAGTTGACCTATAACGGGTTGTACACATATTGAAATTTTCATGAACGTATTATTATTAAGTCTCGGTTTAACTAGAAATCTGATTTTAAATTGTAATTTGGAGTTATTCAAATGTAATGGTAGGCATTAGTACAATTATACTATGACTATCAAAGTATTCGTATGCATTTTATAAGTTGGATTAGCTTATAGTAGAACGGTTATAGCCAGGTCCTATTACTACTTACGAACTAATTACGAACTTATCTGGTCGCCAACAAATAAAAATACACGTTAGTTCGTAACGTCGCTCTACCTTGATATAGAATGGATTTAGGGTTTTACATAGTTATAGGATCAACGCAAACAATAGTTATAATTCGTTTACGTAAGATAATCTGCGATATAATGGTCAAAGATTATTTCGCCATACCAGTTCTTTGTTCCTTTTAGTAAAAACACTTCTTAGCAGTCTTCCATTGGCCTGACGATGGCCAGATAAATGACTATTGGAAACTGATGGGTATCACGTTAACCATTTCGTTAGAAGGCATCATTAATTAAAAGACCATGGACAAATATAATTTGGGTCCAAAAACGACCTCGCTAAGAATTTTGATGAAATTATACTTTACGCCTATCGTGGAACCCTACGGATTCTGTTTTGTAGGTTACAGACTTCGTGTATCACAGACGTCGGTGTTTCGGCAGCTAACGAGCCTCTCAAAGTAAGAGGACTGATAGATCGACGCTCCTCCTTTCTCTCATTTAGCTCTAGACATGTGACGACTCCGACTTCCACGACAAATTCTCTTATGCAAGCGCAAGTGTTGTTATGTAACTTTCTCCCCATTAACAGTACAAGTGAGCGATCTTCCCACCAATTATCGCACAACTTGAGTTAATGATAAGCAAGTTTCAGAGTTGTGCTTTTAGATTCACTTTCACGGAGTCCAGTCTCCCTCCAATAAAGCTTTTACAAATCAGAAGTACGGGGAAGCAGAAATTTTGAATGGTCAGAAGGAAGTAAGTAAGGCATTAAGCTGTAGGTAAACAAAAACTAGGAGAATAGGAATACGATGTGTACAACCAAAGATTACACATGCTGGTACAACCCAGAACAATCACAGAACGATAAAAACCATATCGCATTTTGTTGTATACCAAAATTAAAGAGTAGTAGCGGTCGTCCAGTTGTCGAAAACTCGACCAGAAATATCTAATGTAAACACTTCTCTATATTCATTCGCCCCTAGCTGTAAATAAAACATGTGATTGGAATTTTTCCCAATTTTTTTTATTTTCTGTTGTTGTTATTTCGTCACTAGCATGCAACCCATAAGGCTCATGTTATTTTTTTTAGATTTGAAATTCATCGTTGAGCATATTTTAATTTATAAAGGGATTCTGCACACCTACAGAACAAATATATCTCTAACAGTATGCGTAGATTGTTCCTATGATGCACACGAGCTGAGAAACCCCGTTTTAAATTAACATGCTTGCCTATTAATATATAGATACCTAAAGCCAAAGCAAAAATTTTGCGTAGCATATGTAGTCTTTGCTAAGGCTAGTAGCAATAATAAAGTAAACCTTAAAGAGTCTACTATTTAATCTATAACCAAACTTAATGAGTACCAATCGGATTATCTCCTTGAATTGGTTGAAATTGTAGTAGTCTACCTTTTTTAGTACACAGCCCTTCAGTCGTACATATTCGTCTCATATAATTTCCAATAGATTGAAACTGTCTATAAAGATATTTGGAGCAACAAAATCATCCAACGCTGAACATCTCAGCTTTTTAGCTGCGGATGGTGGGCTCCGCAACTGGCATTTGAGAGGATGAGCTGAACAAGGGGTTCTGTGAGAACTGCGGTCCATTAGCAGTACAGTCCGTGTCCTCCGGCTGTTATGCTGTAATTGTTGTAATTGGCGTCTAATTTGGAGGCAGAGTCGTTCATTACCGGTAGTAGAACTGCAAACCCCGAAGCCATTCTGGGCTAATGGGAAGTGCCTTTACAATGTAAGCCTTGTCAGATAGCTCATTCATGCAGTGGCTGATTACGAATTTAATTTGATATTGTGATTCTGTTGTAGGCAAATCACGTCCATACGTGGTGATTAGAGACTAGTGTGAGGATTTTGCCCAAATATATTTACTTGAGTATCATGGAAAACAATTGTCGTTATAATTGGAATTAATGCTTTACGTACATCTGCATTAATTTACAACTGAAGCAATTTAGTTTAGGCATATAATAAAACACACAACATGTAGACTTTCAAAAACATGTTTTGGTAGTTAAAAATATTGATTCAATACGTCGAATATATTTATTGAGTAGTATAACTCCTTGCTGGGTGGTGCCTCTGCCTCTGCCTGTGTGACAGGAGCTGCGCCTGCTCCAGGGACTCGCCGTTAGTTCGTTTTGTTTCAGTGAACATCGCATCCTGTGTCTTGCTAATTGTTACATCACGCGAGGCTCACAGAGTCCATTCATGAAACATCTATCCGACCAGGACTAGCAACTACATCTACGTATATACGGCAGTTGAGTTGTTGATTGTTTGAAGGTATCCATCGAGGACAACCAACTGCATTGTATATCTTTAGATGGGTGCGGACATTTTCACTTGTCCGTTTTAAATCAATAGTTTGATGATAAAAATAACGTTTTTCATTTGAAAATATCATTAGATATACTCTTTGCTGATAGACAGTTAACAAACTAACCATAATCGTATGCATCACTAACCGCAACTAAGTACTCAAACTTTAAGCACTTTTTATTCCTAACGCAGAATGTACCGTTACGGGCTAAACATTGTATAGCTATTGCAGGAATACGTCAGCTATGATACAGATAAGTAATTAGTGGTACAGTATAATCCTCCTTGACATAAACAATAATAAATATATCATTCGTTTAGGAAACCTAGAGAAAGGGGCCAATAAATATAAACTTCTTTAGCCTAAAGCTCGAGTATATTTTTACTTTTATTTGTGGGATCTGAACCCAAGCTCGAAGGACAGAAACCCTGTGCTCTAACGGCTTTGGCAGCGGCGTCATATGATAGAATACGTGGACATTTACTGCTTGTGTTGTAGTCGAAGCCCCTAAGTAAATGACATTGTCTACTATGTCAGTCATCACCACTCCCTGATTTGTTTAAAGTGTAATTTCGTTTTGGTCCATAAAACAAAGCCGGTGAAGGCTAAGCAATAAACCAGCAGGAGGCTACCGACTACCGAGCTACCGTCTTTGCTACCCAGCCATATTGTCCTCCGGGCTCTTCAAGCTGACCATCTTCCTAGAATCTCTACAAGTTTATTAACGAGCGTTGGGTTTTTGTTGCTGACGAAGGGCGGGTCTATGCCATTGTCACCAACAATATTTATGACTTCTTGTTCTAACTAATGGAGTATTTATTGAGCATTGTCGCTCCTTCCACCCATTTCTCGCCAACTAGGTTCCGATTGTCTCCTGTCACCAGCCAGTCTTGTGTACAAACAAACACTCGACCCACCGTGCACTTGGGTAAGATGCTGTTTACAATCTCATGAGTTTACAATCTCATGACCAAAATAATTAATTCCTTATCAGATTGAGATTGAAAAATATATGCGTCACGTAGTTAGCAGAGAATGTATGATCCTTTTGAGCGTGAAAAACGTCGTGTCCATAAATTAAGTGCACTTTTTGGTAATTATGCAAATTTTACCCAGGACCCCAAAATGGAGTATTTCGGTGGCAACTTAATTTTCAAAGTAAATCCAGAACGAGTATACCTACTCTATATGGCATTTAATAGATTCTAAAATAACTTAACAATGTAAAATATGAAATACGAGTGATGAACGTTCTGTGTGGTAAAATTTACTTAGATAGACGGCAAAATGTCGCACTGTAGCGTTTGCGGCCTTGTTGGATCCTAATGTTTTAAACCGGCCAGTTAAAACATTACATGAGTCAACAAGGGGACTCCACACTAATTTAAAATGGCTAAAAAGTTATAATAATATGATCACGAAGGGTGCTTAGACGAATCCCGAAATATCGGGAATGGATTCTCTGGATTGAGACCCTCGTTGCCAGTTGGTTATAAACTTAGGCGGGGTCGATGCAACTGAACAATATTCTAAGTACTCAATGACTTGCAATTTGAGGTGAAAGAAAATGACTTACAGCTGCCATATTTCGTAGCTGAGAAAATTGTACTAAGTCACATGTATTAGCCTCCATCCGAGTGGTAAATCCTCACAAGGTCACATATATGTGGGACGCCTTTTGACCACATTATTTACTGTAACGAAATCTGTGGTTTAATTTTTTGTTTGGTCTACAGATCAATTCATTCCACTGAGCAAACCAATTCACAGCGGTTTTGCGGTTGCTTGTCAAGAGCTGGGTCGGTGGAGATTGTGAATTTTGGATTATGCGATACACTGGACAAAAAATACTAATCGTAGTACTAGTTCAAGGGCGATATACAACTAAACGAAACAAATATCTTGAAGCAAATGCGATGAGATGAGCAAGTAGTTTTTTTTTCTTATTCATACCTCACTTGGCATTGAGAACATTTTTATGATCAAAGGATGTGTGTTGATTATCATTATATGCTGACATTGTAGATCATTTGGCAAGACTCAAGAATCCCATGAATGTGAGATTTCGGTGCAGTTTTTTAACCTAAAAAATGGGCAACCTTTTGAGTGAACAGATTTGTTCCTCTTTTCATCCAAGTACTTGAGACTAATGAAAGAAACCACGCACGAACCACTACTAGAATGGCAACGAAGCTCGATACGAAGAGAGAACACTCTGTCCCTATTATCTATAAAAGGTTTTTCCGAAATAACATTACAAATGTAATTTAAGTGATTTTACGACAAGAACTACGTACAAGAGTGAACATCTCTAGCTATGCTGAGGCTGTTAATTGGAGACAGGAACTGCCGAATTATTGTGGCGATGCAATCAAACATATATGGTTATATTATGATGAGACGAAGGCACGCGAGGAACGTCACCAGCGGAAACGACTTGCAAATCCGTCAAGGTCGCGGCCGAGGGTCCTTCATGGAAGTCATCAACTTGAACAGGAATAACCACAAATCACAGCTGTTGCCTCCAGCTACCTATGATGTTTGACAAATTACCAAATGAAATGATCCTCGAGTTCTTATGAACCATCAGAAGAAGTGTTGCAGCCCGACTATTCTTAGCTGCTAAGAGAGTTCACATACAATTTTCACTTCCATAATGAGAAAGTTAAAATTGTTATTGTAGGAACCAAGAAAACCCATGTTTTATGTAAACCTGAGCAAACGAGGAACCAAATAAACCCTTGCCCGGCAGATAATCCATCACGAGTCTGGAGAGCTTTCATTAATTGATATCCGTTTATCATACCGTACAACAACTCCATTCCCATCGAGAGTATGTAGTGACGTACATGTCCGCGACCTATACCGTGGCCGAGGTCGTGTCATGATGGATGTTACAGTTCAGGACAAACGCAGTAACTCTGCTGCAACAAGACCACTGTAGACCTTGATGACTATCGCGATATTTCTACAAGGCCGAGCCATTTACTATTGTTGTAGTGTACGACAAGCAATAGCATATCATGATCTCCAAGTTATTAATCCTTCGTAAATTAAATCAAACATTCCTACTTTATCGTGATAAGTATAACTAACGAATTAATAGCCGACCTAACGACTTTATCTCACCAGTGGTATTATTTTCTTAGAAGCAGCTTATGGCAGTAGTGTTGTGAATCAATTTCTTGGATGTACAATAATCTGGATTATCAAAATATCTTAAGCAGTTAGTTAAGTATGTGGCCTATTGTATTTTGGGACTGGTGCATACTTTACTTCATAAAAACGGATTTATGCTGATTACGTGTCAGTAACCACAAGACGGTTTTTTTTAACTGTTATGTAAAGTCGATGAAGTAAGTATTTTACACTTAAAACAGGGCCATCCATGTGTTCTGCGATAAATTTGTCCGTGTTGGATGATGTTAGGTATTTCACAACTTAAAAGGTATCCATGTTAATAATATGAGAAACCCCTGGTTCGGTAGCGACTAATTTGGTAACAGTGTTCTTAAGAAGAATTGACCGTTTGCTTTACCACAATTTCGTGGAGTTTCTAGGTACTACATGAATCTCGTTTGTGATGTGAGTGAATGACTGGGAGTGGGCGGTTAGAGCGGAGTGAGTCACAAGGAACGCGGACGAGTTTATCTTATGATTTACATTCTATTCATCCATTGTGGTGGTGATGTGCGGGGAATACCAGTGAGTCACTAGCGAAATGGGCCCAGATTAACATAAATTAATTCTGAAACAAATAATTAAAAAACAAATTTAGTATTAAAAAGCTTTTCGATGGGTAGTAGTTAGCAAAACCCTCTCTCACTAAGTAGGAACATTTTGGAAAAATATGTTCATGAAATGCAGCTTTGGATGGAATTGACTTTTAGGAAATACACTGCGAATTTCATTCTTCGCCGAGTTACTACACGAAAAAATATAAAATCACGATTGTTAAAAAGTAATGAAACTACAAAATGTTTTGTTCTGAAACCAAGATAGACAAAATAGAGGCCTCCCGTCACGGCAAGGCGAGAACACTTAACGGTCCTCTCGACTACGCGACGCGGTAGCGTAAAATGTCGACACGTAAAAATGAACCGGTTTTGACCAAATTAACGGATTATTTCGTCAATCGGTTTCACTTTCAGCCGAGCGAACGAGTTCGGCGACGATGTAACTGAGAGCCGCTCCTTTGATTTATAGCTCGAGTTAGGAAGGCCGACGACTTCGTAATGCGTCGTCAAAAAACAAATAAACATTTCCAGGAACTGAATGTGTAGAGTTCTTGTCGAGTTTTATTGCCATTCCCGACCTCGTAACAAAAGAAAATCTTTAGCGATTAAAAATAAATATTTACCCGTACTATCGAGTAAAATATAACTGCTAGGCTTGCTTGTTGATGTTGAATGGCAGAAGTAAAATGTTGTCTGAAACAAGTGGAGACGCATTCTTAGTATTCTTTTTTAGGAATACAAGCTGCTATACCCGTGCTTTGCAACGGGAAGAAAATGTGACCTAGAGAGCTATTAAAGTGGGTGCTGATGTATGATTTAAAATACAGTAACTCTATGATTTAAAACATATAAACTGATTTAAAAGTGTCAACCTACTTACTTTCAAAGCCCTAATTTTGATGTTAATAGATCAAAAAGAACATGACGACGTATACAACCTTTCTTTAAAACGAAACATAACCCTCCCAAATCTACATAAAGCTTCACAAACATCTTTTTCTAGTAAATTAATAAACAAACACCAGTTCATTGTACTGACCAGCTGTTTCATTAACTAAAATCAATTGAATTATATAAACTTTGGAAGCATGCCAGGCGTAGCCCTTTGGAAATCAACCTGTGGCCCTGTGGGGCAGATCCCTTAGGAAATTCATTCATATCAATACTTTCGGCAAATC